CATGCGTACAGGCCTAGGCCCTCTGCTGTGCCCTTTTTCTTAACATTGCAGCTCTTCGCCATCATATCCCAATGAACCAGCGAAACTCAATAGCGCCAGTGCAAACTATGGTATTAGTATCCTTTTGCACACTCTGACCCTGTTTGTATTCGATCTCCCGTGCCTGTCGGATATTTTACGCGGGAGCTACACAGAAACTGGCACAACCTCGTGATTGCTTCATTCACGCGTCCCTTAATAAGAGAAATATTTCAATGTCGTTGCGCATGTACATGGGACGAAACGAGCTATATCTAAGATGCTTGATGCGTGAACGAAGATGAAAATGTTCAGGGTAACAGAGTTTCTAGATGATTTCATGACTGACGCGAAGTGGAACGACGACCAAAGTAAAATCCGCAGCAGGTGACTTCGTAGGGAACATCTCCCCTCCCACTGGTTGACTGGTGTGTATCGGTTGGTCGTGCTTGAGACCCTCGTGCTCCTGCCAGCGCTTCAGATGGTTGTGCCCCTGCTGGTTGACCTGATTGCGTTGCACTGTTGGCCTGATTGCTGTTCGTACGTTGCATAGCTGCAGCCGCTTCCTCATCAGTTTCAGGGACAATGCCATATCTCTGCAATGTATTTTAATGGAACGAGTTTGGAGCGACGACGAGTCACTCACATCTTCATCACGAGCGGGAGCCACATCGACGGTGCGGCTGGAGTTTCTTACAGGAAGTAAGCTGAAATTCCAATGTCGGGATTCGCGAGGTGATGGTCGAGGCGTATCTGTATGTTGGGTACTGAACCGGAGGGAACCAATTAAAGTGCGCCAATGAAGGAAAGACGAACTCGCAGGCGGAGCTGCGCGACGAAGTGCGCGATTTGAATCATAGGCGAAGAAATCATTGCCCTATTCGGATTAGCAAGAGCTGAAGAACGAAAAATTCTACTGACGTATTTGGCCGAGCCTTTGGTAATGGCCTATTGTTTGAAGTACATATGGACATTAAGAATCTAGCGAAACATACGAGAAAAGATGAGGTTCCTTACGATTGGCTGCCGCACAACTCTTGGTTGAGCTGGACGTCCCTGATAAAAGGTGAGATGTAATGTGGAAGAGAAGCAGAGAAGACTTGCCTTGAGCTTTGCATTCCCATCATCTGCGCCCTAGATGATCAAAACCGTTAGGAAGGGAAATTAGACCACAAAGCACATATGTACCACATCTTTGAGCGCTGCCTCCAAGCTCCACACATAGACTTTTTTATCTAGTCCAGCACTGGCAATGTATCTTCCATCGGGGGACATGGCAATAGCGAAGACTCTGTCATCATGCAAGAGTGGATGCCCGACTGCCTGATTGGTCTTGAGATCCCAGATGTTAATGGAGTAGTCATTTGATGCGCTAACAAGATAGCTTGCATCGGGAGTAAGACAGAGAGATTGGACGGTGTTGGTGTGACCCCGAAAAACGACGAGTTCCTGTCCATCAATCGCCCGCCATTTTCGGATGGTGTTGTCAGCTGACCCGGAAAAGATGTGTGTGCCGTCCTTGGACCAACACAATGACGGCACCCAGTCTTCATGTCCCTTGATCTCGATAAGCAGCTTGCCGTTCCTTGACCATATACAGATCGGACCGTCCCCGCCGCTCATGAACTTGTCACCTTCTGGAGAGTATTTGACGGCTTCAACCCGTCCGTGACTAGTTTGTATGGGTGGTGCTATTTGTCGACCAGTATTTGGGTTCCAGCGTCGTACGGTGCCGTCTTGCGATCCACTTGCTATCTCCAGGGAATTGCAAGACCAATCGAGGCACCTCACTTCATCATCATGTCCCTCCCACGGATCGCCGATCATGCTGCCCTCCTTTATATTCCACAGCCGCAGTCTGCCGTCTGTACTTCCACAAACAACCATCGTTTCGTCCGGAGATACTACCATCGAACCTATTTCTCCCCCATCGCTATTCAAAGGTTTTCCCACTGGCTCTCCGTCTCTTTTCCACTGACGAATCGAACTATCCCAGGACGCGCTCATTATATTGCCACTGGTACCCAAGTGGGCAAGGCTCCATATGCATTTGGAGTGACCCTCGATGACGCACTCCGGCATCAAGCTTCCTGCTGGACGTTCCGGCTTTGGTTTCCTCCACGACGTGTTCCGAGTATTGTGGTTGACGAAGTAGGACCGACCGAGTGGTGAGATGTGCCATTCGCATCCGGGAACAGCGAGATCTCCAGGATGATCTATGTTCAATGGTGAGTTCGTCGCTCCTTGACGCAATTTCATCCCTCACCTAGTCGCACTCCTGGTAAAGGTCGGTTCCACGAGACCATCAAGAGCGTGTCATCTTGATATAGTGTTTTACCATCCGAGGACGTCTTGAACTGATGCCACATAGGAGGAAGCGCTTCATTCCCGCCTGATTCTAATTGAATAAGCTGGTAGGTATCACCAGATGGCTACTCACCTTCCCAAAGTGCATCCTGGCGGCGCTGTGCACCATATGGTGGTGGATCTTTCGCGCTCGTCCGATATATCGATGAGTCCAATGGCGCTTCTCCCCGTCTCGTCGACGTGCTCGACTCGGCCTCTTCGTGTGGCATGACCTTGATCGATAAATGATGTCACGTTGTACAGACAGACTGGACAGTGGAACACTGCGCAAGGTCGGCAATCGAGGGGAGGGAGAGATACGGGTCGAAGGTGATGAAGAGAGCTGCTATTTGGGTCAGTTTTGCATGCTGTGGTTGCAGGCGCCTTGCTGACACTGCATGTCAATGGCTGTGCTACCACCGGATCAAGTACTTACCTTGGTCCGGTTCAAATCTTGAGGCAGTTCGATGTACGTTGATCTGTTATGTATGTCTCATGAGCGAGTGGAAAAATATGATGTTTGTTTGAGCGCGTGCATATACACATTGAATCTGTACGATGTGCGTAGCGTGTAACAGGACTCTCAAGCAAAGTACCACTGCAGTAGTGACAAATGATTGCATGACTGACGGCAACCCAGGGATGGAGTCGCTTGATGTTGGCTGCGCAATATTGCTATGATCAACGTCCCCGGGCGTTAATAGTGTCTTCTCGTCTTAATCAGCAGAGAGTTGTGAACGTTCGACATCAAAACCGAAGTCATGTTCAGATAGACCACAATGAATTTCGTCGGCTTTCCCACAAATTGCAGTCAACAACCATGACCTTTATTCACTGACCAGAAGAACGCTGATGTAGGCTACGCGGCGTCAACCTGAACGCCCTCGCCTGTCTGTGTAACCTGCTACACGACTTCACCCACACCCGAACCGTTGCCGCGCTTTTGTGCACTAGTAACAATCTCCAGCACGGAGGCTCGTTAGGCCCGCTTTCCACGCAACAAGACATTTTTCCAGTGCCTCCCATTGCTCTCGCTCAAACGTGCGCGCTGACGAGCGGTAAACATGTAGAGATTGAGTGGTCTGCGAGAGCTTTCCCGAAAGAAGACTGTACGGATCACTATTCGAAGACTATTATAAACGAGAGGTTGTCAAGAGGACGTACCATCGATCGCCCACTTCTCTACTTCATTCAATTCAATCTGCAAACCTCTGAATATGGCAAGTCATGCCCGACGTGTGCAAAACCCAGTGACGCGAATGACAGAAGACGGATCTGCCGCTCGAGCTGTGCTCGGTCGAGTTCTGCAGGCCCGTAAATGATTCAAATATGTGGCATCAATCTCAATGAATCGACTTACCATATTTTTCGAGAGCAGCGGGATGGCTTTCGAGCCACGAATGTAATTCTGGTAGGCCACTATTCAAAAACACCTGCAGAAGCGAGAAAAACTCATGATCCTTTGCTGAGACAACAGCGTCCAACTTGAACAATGGGTCAAAGTCGAATAAGCTGGGCAAGCACAATGCTAAGGCTATGGCATCGACCGCCGCGGATTGACTTTCAGGCGAAGAGGATGGTAATGAAGAAACATAGGAAAGCGTGTAATGATAAGCAGTTTCCCTGTATGAGTCAAATGTCAACCACAACCTTCATCAGTCAGATGGAATAACACGTACGGCTGGTCAGATTGTATGAATGCATCGACAATGGACTTGAGGAATGGACTGCGCTCTTCCCCAGAGATATCCCATCCTTGCAACCACTGCTCGACATCTTTTCTGGATAGACGCAAAGTCTCGAGCTCTCCATTGTTGGCGGCGACTTCTAGCAACGCGGTGTAAATAGGTAGCCGGAGGGCTGAATTACGAGTAGCATTGAACAAATTTGATATGCTGTGTAAGAATTGAGCACACGGCCCGCCCAGATGTGCTCAGAATGTAGGCACGATTACGGTATCGTTGGCCTGCAAACGAGGGCGCCTGTGGCTTGTGGTTTGAAATGACTGATCCAGGATTCTAGGACCCCGAGTACTCGATCGAGATGGCAGGCGGAAAGTTTGATGAAGCTGTCCAATGGACAAGGGCTGGACTGCGTTTCGATTCATATATGACTAGTCTCAAAGGGTCTACAGTCGAGCAGCCATCATGATCATGCTGCTAATCTTGTCAGTGAGAGTTGATACTGATTTTTAGTCTCACTTACCCTGCGCTGATGATCATGAGGTGAAGACCATATGCATGTTTCTCACTGCAAAAGTTCATACTCTTCGCGCCAAGTGTGATTCGATCGCAGTCAGCCCTGAGTTGCCTGGAGAACTATGGCGATTCGTCAGCAAAGAAGGACTGTGAGAGTCTAGGCAGTGCTTCTAGCATGCTGGACACTGAAAATATACTGTGTTGACACCGTGTTCAATGATACGACAAACTGAGTGCTTCCGAGGGGGATGTCGATGAACGGTCAGCTCCTTCCAAACTAACCACAACACCTTCCTAATGAGGAGTTTAAAATGATCTTCCTCGTATTTGAAAATACTCCAGGTGACCACACAACGCATTTTCTGTATAGATACCTTAACTTAGTTCTTGTTACATCCTAGCACTGGTACTGTCAGTATATATGTTCAGAGGGACTAGCTAGGATGACACAGATTGTCGTTCACATGCTATAAACGTCACGATTTCTGCAACCGACGGACGACTTGCACGAGGTGACCAGCATCGCTGCATGAACTCCCAGTGCCCAGGCGCTATTTGCGATTCCTTAGGAGGTTGCGGTTTTATCCCTTTGATGACTTGTCCTAACACCGCAATATCCTTCTTCACATTGTGGTAGGGTACCTTGCAACTCAATACCTAGAGCATGTACGAATTGAACAGTGTATTTCGTTCGAAATCGAGATACCAACCTGGAGCGTGATGCTGCCAAACGAGTATATGTCGCACTCGGTGCTGAGCGACAGCTCGTCGTCCTCCGATACTTCACATAATTCTGCAGCTACCCATCGAACATTCCCGCGGATGGAGCTCGTAAAATATGAGGTACCGACGAACTCCAGGATTATGGTGGAGAGACCAAAATCAGCGAGGCATGCCCGACCGTTGCCATAAATCAAGACGTTTGACTGGAGAGTTGACACGTGAATAATGAAAACCTTCTGTGTGCGGACGTACGCACCCCTGTCAGGTCCCCATGGACGACTGATTTGCTGTGAACTGAACCAAACACCAGCATTTGAGAAATGGGGTGCAGTGAACGACAAACTTACGGTATTGCAATCCAAGAACAATGTCATTCAGCTGGCAAATGCAAGGAGGTCAGTAAGCGCCTGGAGATGCTAGATACACAGCTTACAAGGGAAAACTTATCGTGAGATGACAACGAGCTTTCTTGCCTCTCAAGATAGCCCGTGAGCGCTCCGTGTTCAGCCCACGGGCAAATCATTGCGGGGTATGGTCCAAAGTCAGTCGCTACTCCCCAGAGCGGAAGAATGCTATGATGCTTGAGACGGCCCCAAACGTTGAGTTCGCGACGCACTCTCTAAAGTCGATTCAACATTAGATATACTGATACACGTGACGCCGTGGAAGACCACATTACCCTACTATTCTTCCGCATCAGGACCTCGTCGTCGGATTCGAAAGCGCGAATAGTCTTCACTGCTACCTTGGTCATCATCAGGATGGTAAGAGTAGGAAGTGCGAAAAGCTGAGCATACCTGGACGGTCATATCGGGCTTCACTAAATCACACTTCCAGATGTCTCCAAAGCCTCCAGAAGTGATCGGATAGCGTGATCTTCCCTGTAGGTCATCAGTAAGATCTTGTAGTGGATGTGACGGTGCTTGAGTCTGCTTTGGAGATGGTGCGTGATCCCGTGAAGTAGTATTAGACTCGACGGTAGCGCCGGTTTCTGTGCTGTTCCTGTCATCCGTTCCGGACATATTCCGAACATCTATTTGAGGGGGTGTGGGTGCTTTATCTTTGGTATTGGGTGATGATTGCGCACGGGTATTGCTCAGTGAGCGAGTTCCGATCCTAGTTTTCGGCTGAATGGAGGCAAGGAGGTCAAAGATCTAACGACGGTGAGGCTGGAGTTTCTTACAAGAAGTAAGCTAAAATTCGAATGTCGGGATGTGCGAGGTGATGGTCGAGGCGTATCTGTAGGTTGGGTGCTGAACTGGAGGGAACCAGCGCGATCTGAATCATTGCCGAAGAAATCTTTATGCGCTGTATCAAAGTCGGATTAGCAAGAGCTGAAGAACGAAAAATTCTACTGACGTATTTCGCCGAGCCTTTGGTAATGGCCTATTGTGTAAAGTGCAGATGGACATTAAGAACAAACGAGAAAAGATGAGGTTCCTTACGATTGGTTGCCGCACGACTCTCGGTTGGGTTGGACGTCCCTGATAAAAAGTGAGATGTAGTGCGAAAGAGAAGCAGAAAAAGACTTGCCTTGAGCTTTGCATTTCCATCATTTGCGCCCTAGATGGTCAAAAAACCATTAGGAAGGGAAATTAGACAACAAGGCGCATACGTACCACAACATGTTTGAGCGCCGCCTCCAGGTTCCATACATAGATTTTTTTGTCTAGTCCAGCACTGGCAATGTATTTTCCATCGTGGGACATGGCAACGGCGCAGAGTCGGTCATCATGCAAGAGTGGATCTCCGACTGGCTGATTGGTCTTGAGATCCCAGATGCGAATGGAGCAGTCCCTTGATGCGCTAACAATATAGTTTTCATTGGGAGTAAGAAAGAGGGATCTGACGTAGTGGGTGTGACCCCGAAAAACGACGAGTTCCTGTCCATCAATCGCCCGCCATTTTCGGATGGTGTTATCACCCGACCCCGAGAAGATGTGTGCACCATCCTTGGACCAACACAATGAGATCACCACATGGTCATGTCCCTTGATGTCGATAAGCAGCTTGCCGTTCCTTGACCATACGCGGATCACACCCGGGCCGTCGGCACTACCGCTCATGAATTTGTCGCCTTGTGGAGAGTATTTGACGGCATTGACCCATCCGTGACGGGTCTCTATAAGTGGTGGTATTTGTCGACCAATATCCGGATTCCAGCGTCGTATGGTGCCGTCTTGCGATCCACTTGCTATCTCCAGGGAATTGCAAGACCAATCGAGGCACCTCACTGCAGCATTATGCCCCTCCCACGGGTCGCCGATCATGCTGCCCTCCCCTATATTCCATAGCCGCAGTCTGCCATCCGCGCTTCCACAAATCACCATTGTTTCATCTGGGGATACTGCCATCGAAAGTATCCCTCCCCCATTGCTATTCAAAGGTTTTCCCACTGGCTCTCCGTCTCTTTTCCACTGACGAATTGAACTATCCTCAGACGTGCTGATTATATTGCCACTAGTACCCAAATAGGCAAGGCTCCATATGCATTTGGAGTGACCCTCAATGACGCACTCCGGCATCAAGCTTCCTGCTGGACATTCTGGCTTTGGTTTCTTCCACGATGTGGTCCGAGTATTGTGGTTGACGAAGTAGGACCGACCGAGTGGTGAGATGTGCCATTCGCATCCGGGAACAGCGAGATCTCCAGGATGATCTATGTTCAATATTGAGTTCGTCGCTCCTTGTCGCAATTTCACGACTCACCTAGTCGCACCCCTGGTAAAGGTCGGTTCCACGAGAGCATCCTGACCGTGTCATCCTGATATTCTGTTTCACCATCCGAGGACGTCTTATACTGATGCCACATAGGAGGAAGCGCTTCATTCCCGCCTGATTCTAGTTGAATAAGCTGGTGAGTATCACCAGTTGCCTGCTTACCTTCCCAAAGTGCATCCTGGCGGTGCTGTGCACCATATGGTGGTAGACATTTCGCGCTCATCCGATATATCGATGAGTGCGATAGCGCTTCTCCCCGTCTCGTTGACGTGCTCGACTCGGCCTCTTCGTGTGGCATGACCTTGATCGATACAGGATGTCACGTTGTACAGACAGACAGAACAGTGAAACACTGCACAGAGTTGGTAATCGAGGGGAGGACAGATACGGGTTGAAGGCGACAAAGAGACCTGCTATTTGTGTCATTGTTGTATGCTGTAGTTGCAGGTGCCACCAAGGCGCCACATGTCAATAGCTGTGTTACCATCGGATCAGGCACTTACCTCGGTCCGGTTCGAATTGAGGCTGTCATTCAGCGAGTGGAATAGTAGCATGACGTTTGTCTGAGCGGGTGCATACACACATCGAATCTGTGCGCTGTGTATAGCGCGTAGCAGCACTCCCGAGCAAAGCACCACCAGTAGTGATAAGTGATGGCATGATTGACGGGAACACGTTACGTAGTATATACAGGATTCAGTTGCTTGGCTGCGCAATATTGCTGTAATCAACACCCCTGGACGTTGATAGCGCCCAGGCCAAAGTGTGCTCGTCTGAGTAGGGAGAGTTTTAAACGTTCGACATCAAAATCGAAGTCATGTTCAGATAGACTTCCCCGGCTTTCCCACAAATCGCAGTCAACAACCATGACCTTCATTTACTGACCAGAGGAACTCTGATGTAGGCTACGCAGCGTCAACCTGAACGCTCTCACCTGTCTGCGTGACCTGCTGCACGGCTTCACCTGCACCCGAACCGTTACCGCGCTTTTGTGCACTAGTAACAACCTCCAGCACGCTCGCTAGTCCTGCCTTCCACGCAACAAGACGTTTTTCCAGTGCCTCCCATTGCTCTCGCTCAAACGTGCGCGCCGACGAGCGGTAAACGTGTAGAGATTGAGTGGTCTGCGAAAGCTTTCCAGAAAGAAGACCGGTACGGATCACTATTCGAAGATTATTTCAAATAATTATAAACGACAGGATGTCAAGAGGACGTACCATCGATCGCCCACTTCTCTACTTCACTCAACTCAATCTGCAGGATCGACGCGACCTCTGAATATGGCAAGTCATGCCCGACGTGTGCAAAACCCAGTGACGCAAATGAGAGAAGACGGATTTTACGCTCAAGCTGTGCTCGGTCGAGTTCTGCAGGCCCGTGAATAGTTCAAATATGTGGCATCAATAATAATGAACCGACATACCATATTTTTCGAGAGCAGCGGGATGGCTTTCGAGCCATGAATTTAATTCTGGTAGGCCGCTATTAAAAAACACCTGGAGAAGCGAGAAAAGCTCATGATCCTGTGCTGAGACAACAGCGTCCAACTTGAACAATGGGTCAAAGTCGAACAAGCTGGGCAGGCGCAATGCTAAGGCTATGGCATCGACCGCCGCGGATTGACTTTCAGGCGAGGAGGATGGTAATGAAGAAACATAGGAAAGCGTGTGATGATACGCAGTTTCCCTGTATGAGTCAAATGTCAACCACAACCTTCATTAGTCAAATGTAATGATACGTACGGCTGGTCAGATTGTATGAATGCATCGACAATGGACTTGAGGAATTGACTGCGCTCTTCCCCAGAGATATCCCATTCTTGCAACCACTGCTCGATATCTTTTTTGGATAAACGCAAAGTGTGGAGCTCTCCATTGTTGGCGGCAACTTTTAATAACGCAGTGTAAATAGGTAGGCGGAGAGCTGAATTACGAGGAGTTGCATTGAACAAATTTGATATGCTGTTGAAGAACCGATCACACATCCTGCACAAATGTCCTGGAAACGTAGTACTTACACGCGATACCTCACTGATGAATGCTCGGAAGGTGATGAAGTAAGAACATCGAGGAGCGAGGAGACGTGATGTTTAATTTCCGGTGAGTTGGTTGGCCATAGTGTCAGAAGGTGAGAGAAGAGAAGGTTAAAGTAGCCCTCGATTTCTGCATTTCAAAATCAGATCTGATTCACTGCAGAAAATGCTGAGGATCACCGGACGCACCTTGTTCTGATCCATCGCCCAAGCTTTTCGTCTGATCTAGCACAAAGGTCAACGCGTTCCGTTTTCTTTCCTGATCCTCTTCAATAGGTTTAGCCCCTTCAGCTGGCTTAATAATATCCCGGAAAGATTGTGACGCAGTAGCCCGTTCATCCCCTGGGCTACTTCGAGTGGCATAATCCACTAGCTCTTGTATCTGACCGGAGATCAGGGATAAGTCTTCACGAGGAGAGTATAACTATACCTGCTCTTCGAAAGTCCCTTCCGCGAACACTGACACTGAATCTGCGGTAGGCATTTTGTTGGATGAACTACATATACTTGTGGTGCAATTAGATCTTGGCTGAGTTTCAAAAATACAATTATGTACAAACAAACCGACAACTTTTGTAACTTGTTGGCATTTGGTGCGCCAGTTTTTCCACTCTAGCAATTGCCAGCGAACTTGGGGTGGAAATTTTTGTTACATTTATTTCGAACCTCAAGAGGGATTCGAACTCAAGAGGAAAATTTGGACAACCTGTGACAGATTTCCTTCGTCCTACTGGTTTTTGTTTGGATTTATTGAATTCAGAAGGTACTGTCGGATAAATAGTGACAAACAGACACCAGCCAATGTGTTATGGGATCGATTATTACTAGGTCGTGTGCATCATGTCATTTGCAAGTCTGAAGTCTCAAAGGCAATCTAAGGCATCAAGATCGTATGTGACTTCCACTGATAATTCCAAAGAGTCCCACTCCACAACTATTCCAAAAGCGATACATCCCAATGATCCAACTACATCAACTCCCAGCAATGGAGGCACTGTGTACCACGGCATACCAGAAAATGTGGAGGTGCGGGTATCAGAAATATCAGGCAGAGGCTTATGGGCCAGGAATTTAATCAAAGCTGGTTAGCAAATTTGTTGCAAGATCTGACTCTTGAGTCACACATCGCTTACACGACATAGGTTCTGTTATTATATCACTAAGACCGTATTCATTCGCACTTGCTAGCCGGTATCTGGACTCGCATTGCTCCTCTTGTGCTGCCACGTCAAACTCGGGATTGTTGAGGTGTACCAAATGCCGCACAGTTTGGTATTGCAACACAGTTAGTTGCACTAATACCATAAAGCGCTTTTTCGCTGGTCTAATTCCTCAGTATTAGACGTGTCAGACAAATGACTGGTCACTTCATCGACTCGAATGTTCTGCATTGACGAAATGGGCCAAGTCAGCACCATCGAAAAACTTGTCTGTCCCAAGTGATGCTGTCAGGTGCCTGGGTCGAATTTTGTGGCAAAAAAAGAAGGAAGGGTTTGACAGTAGTTGGGTGGGTAAGAGTTTGTATTTCATGGATCACACCGCTTACAGCACGACAGTCAAAGGAAATCGATGCATTACAGTCTCGTGAGTCGTGCATCACATTCAAGTGCAGGTTATAATCGAGGTGGGATTAGATCGACATTCTTTGGAACCTCATGTCGTTGAAAATAATACCCACCTTGCCCACTCTCTGGTTCGATATCTTGGCTTGTCTTCTCCTGGAGATTTATCGGAGTTTGGCATTTTATCTGCGGGCGACCTTGCTGATTTAATTTCAAGAGTAAGCACTGTTCATTGAATGATTCAGGCATCGCATGCTTAGTATCTGACAGTTTGTGACGAATACTTTCGCATTAACTTCACCCTCGTTGACACCAGTGGGGGTGTCGGTCTCGCCGCTTATTGCACTTTTCAACCATTCTTGTGATCCCGGTGCAGTCATAGTTTTCCCTCGGTCTTCTCGAAATTCCGTAGAGGAGCCGCAGATGCAAGTCATTGCGCTCAGAGACATTTCACCCAATGAGGAGGCGAGCATAAACCACTTACTCGAAGCGCTCTCACTAACCAGCGATTGCTATCAGATTTTGACATCCTATATCGACACCACCCTACCTCGTTCTATAAGACAGGCTGCGTTGAAGGAGACATATGACTTCACATGTCAGTGTCAACTATGTCATGACGACAATATAATAGACCCTCGTGAGTCCATATGGTGTCCAAAGTCATGTGGGGGGATGTGCCCTGCGCCTAGTGACGGTGAGAACGGTCGGCGTTTTACTTGGAATATTAGTTGTTCATACACTACATTTATAACAGAAAGCGAGACATATCACTGCGTGAAATGCCGTGCAGTTGTAGCTACACCTACATTTATCATGGACGCTCTTCATATCGGACAAGAAGCATTGGCGAAGGCAACTTCCATTCAAGATACAGGTTTGTCCCTCATGTTGCGTAGGAAAGACATCCACGTAAATCTTAATCTGTCCTTACAGATCATGACAAGGCCTTACAGCTGACGACCAACATTATTCCGAGACTTGTGTCTGCCGGCCTGACGCCATCTTGTCACCCGTTATTGCCCTTGATAGGACTCCATCAATCACTTTTCTTGTCCTCGCTGTCGGCTGACATGACACAAGAACTGCTGGACGAGACGATCCGTATCGCAGCTAAGCACTATATGGGGCTATCCGCCATTCTCCGTGATGGCCACCCTGTACGTGCTGTCGCCCTCGCAGAGCTCGGGAAGCTTTTGGCCGTTGACGAACCCTGCCCGGTCACATCACCACCCTCGAATATCGCGTTCCTACCATCCGGCCCCGCGCGACTCAAAGCTGCATACGAAACACTAGTGCGTGCGAGACACGAACTGATGATCGGTTTTGGCAGAAACAACGACGGCGGCGAGCTCGGAAGAAATATTCGCGAAACAGTGGTGTCGTTGGAGAAGGAACTTGGGGTGTGGACACAAGGCATACACAACACTCTTCAAGACTTGCTAAATTTCTCACGAAAATGAATAACAATTGAGACTTTGAGTGCGCTCTTGTTGATTTCATATATGATGCCTGTCAATGCACTATCTCGGGTCGATATGCTCTCTAATAATTAGCTCTTAGAGTCCCTTAGCTGGATCTATAACAGTGACGTCATGATGAGTGGCAAGACGTCACCCAACGTCTGCGAGGAGGAGTGTTGGCTGTTCGGCAATATGTGAGCACCGCAATTCCCGTTTCGAATGAACTGTAAAAAACAAAACTGAGGCACTCAATTTCACCTTGCTTACCATCAAAACATATATAGAGGCAAAGTAAAACGCAAATTGAGCAGGGCTAATAATTTTGATATTGCGGCTAGGTGCTGGCCCTACTCTATGTGACGCCCTGCCACGGATTCATCACGACGTTGTTATATGGATCAATAAACGAGTTGTTTCAAAACGTTAATTTTGAATACCACTCATAAATCGTTATTGAATAGGACTCTTTTTGATGTCATACCGCGTCGTTAGGCGCTGCTATAGCAGACGATGGGAGCGCACAATGATGCGGTATGACATCAAATATTTTAGGACCTACTCAATAACAATTTTATTGTATTGATCCATAATAGATTCGTGGCAAGGGGTTACATCAAATATATATGGCCCGCGTAGCAATCTGTCTGTTGACACCATTATGACATCAAAAGGTAAAATAAAGATACGCTCCAGATAATGCTGGAATTGATATATTAGGTTCCCAACGTACCAAGGAAGAACACTTAAATTGCATCCTTTGGAGCTTGTGTGCTTCTCAAGAACCACCCGACTTTAGCATCACCACAGATCAGACAGCGCAACAGATACAAGATATACTCACCATCATGTTCACTCGCTTCTCCTCTGCTCCCCTCTATGTCCTGCTTGCCTTGACGGCCTTTGTTACTACAAGCTATGCTGCCGCAGGTAAGGCTGACTTGGCACAAAATCTAATACTGTTCACTCACATACGATGAGTAGCCACCATTCCGGTAACCCATCATGTAAGTGTCTGGTACCAAACCTCGTTATGTTATTAACCTCAAACATGATTCACACAGTTGCCCCGTGTAAGCCTTATATCGAATCCATGGATTGGCCCATCGGGATCTTAATATTGTACACAGGGCGATGCAACTACTACTGTCACAGCGGTTGCCGAGGCTGTAACTTCCTAGGTAAGGCTTCAATGCTTCATATCGACCTCGTCATATTGACCTCACATGTAGTGCATCCAGGTGCCTTGTGTAAGCCTTGCTTCGCCTCAAATCCAATTGGCCTTGCGGTGTTAATTTTGTACACAGGCCGAAAGCTTTACAACCACGCAATGTTACCACGGCGTGAAGTGAACCGAACTGACTTAGAATCTACTTCGTTCCTCGAAGTCAATAGTCGAATTCTTTTTTTTTCGTTTCAAAGTGAATCCTTTGGGGTCATAAAACCCTATGTTGGACATGTTTCGTCATTTGCGTCTTTTCCTTCGTATATATGTAGGTTGACGTGAGAGGTTAGTAGATTAAGATTATATCAATTGAACTTGCGAATGTTTTTTCCTGGTTGTGGTCCTTCCATAGTATCGACAGTGTTGCATAACGTTCCACTCTCCTTTCGTTGTGGAGTGTGAGGATGTTATTATTTGAGTGATAGCAGGTGGTGGTTAATAGTTATTACTGACAGGGCGTTTGTTTGCCGAATATGTTCGAGAGTGGGGTGGGAAGTCGAACTTTAAAGTGATGACTGGTCTGTAATTGTGGCTGTGTAGGAAGTAATTTGAATTTTGTACTCACAAAACCAGTAGAATCATCAACGGGTCCCTGCCGACAAAGTTCGGACCTTTCCTCTAGTGGGCAGGCACACTTGATTGTTCCGAAAGTCTCGACTCATTCGTTTGAATCAGCTCCAAGTCTTGTACAGCTCTGAACAACCTCTTTGAAACACATCGCATCGCACAAGTTTCTCACCTAGACTCGCCATGGTCTACCAGAGGGTCAGTCTTGATTGAAAAAAGGAAACGTTGTACGTGCTTTTGGAGGAAGGATGGGATGGGTGCATGTTGTTGTTCTTGGGCCTCAAAAGTAGAAAAGTATAGAGCGGTCACGGCGGGAGGCATGGAATCCTCCGCCCAGCACGCTGACACTCACCCCGGCACACTAGTTCGCGAATACTGATCCGACCTCAGGTCTTTGTCGGTCCCCTCGAAAAAACGCCGAGATGGTTACACCACCTGTGCCATTGCAAATTCATGTTACACAGAGCCAACAGCCTAATTGGAACGGCCACAAGAGAACTGTTTGGCTCACCATCAAATATTTCACCAGTTGATCTTGCACTGACACCAGCCAAAATTCTCGCATAGAGGCGATAGACATGAGGCTGAGAGCCTGAAGGACATGATCGGAAGAATCATGATGCGTTTTCAAATTTCTACGCGATTTTGACGAGAAGCTGCTAACGACTCACTCAGGCGAACATCTTGGTGTTGAATACCCTGTGATTTGTGATGCTAGACAACGGAGGGATAAAGGCATCGTCTCCAAACGACAGAAGCGGAAGCGATGATGGATGCAAGCCAGAAGACGCGGGACAGGAGATGCTCAAATTTCAAACTCAAGAGTGGCTTCAACGAAATTTGCGACGGGCGGAAACAGGCTTTCAGCTTATGTAATCTAAGGCCTGGCCGCCACCGCCTGACTTAACAACGTACCGGCGTGTCACCTAGAATGATCAATATTTTTAGATCCCATGTATAAGAACTACTGACACATGTGTCCTATGCGGTACGTAGTAGAATAAGGATAGTCGGAATATTCATGTGTCGAAAGTAATAATCCCTTCAAAGCGGCCTAGTTCAGACGAGTTAGACGAGAATCGAGAACCGAACCAAAAATTGAGGTGTTGTCCAGACCAAGGAAGGGTGGCGGGAGGCAGCAAGCGATCATAGGGAGCCTTTGGAGGGAGATGGGAGGTGTTAAAATCTTGAGTGATAAAACAGTGAGAGACATTGGGAACTAGCAAGAGATGACAGTCATTTATGACTCACATGAGAGAGGCCGTTCTCGTGAGCTTGTATGAGGTGGAAGCAAGCCCGGGACCAAGAGAATGTGCATCTGGATCACGTGACTCACATTCGATTTCAAATTTTTGCTTCGAACAACTTCGGCATCGGGTGAAACTCCCGTATCCCGAACATATATCGATCTTGTCGCTAGTTGATAACATTGTTCCACAAAGAAACAATCCGTATCGGTTACTCGTTGAGTCCGGGACTTCACTCAACCTCAACTTGAATTTGATTTCGACAAAAATGGACTGTACGGCTATTGTCCAGTACCACACACTTCTTGCTACTTGGCTTGGTGAGGACTCTGAGGAGACCTGTCACTGTCATTCGAACTCAGGTGTCGTCAACTCCAAAAACACGAAACACTGCTGGGGACCCCTTTGATCCTCCCATGTGGTTTTCGGGATTGGACAAGCAGGCGCTCCGACTCGGAAGGCTGCGTCAATATTCAAGCTATCAAACGCCCAAGATTACAATTTTAATCCTTCTTGGAACCGCCACGAACTCTGAGATCTGAACGTTGGACAATTTATTCCTAGATCGGAGAAGTTCGATGAAGCCTGTGCCACATTCGGACTTGAAAGCAATGTCTGTTAGACGCTATTGATCTCTCCCTTTGTCCGCCACTAATCTTGGACCCTCCTACATGAGTCTCTATCTATACTTGGGGGACATGGAACTCCACAAGCGTTTACTACCGGGATACAGAACCTTTTCCGTCGGTCCTGTGACACTACCGCTAACATTATTCGGATCCCGCGTATACTTAAGCTCCTTTGAACCGTACCTATCCATCTCTCACTATCCCTGACTTATCACCTTCGACATACCTATCATTGACACAAGGAAAATCAAATGGGCCCCTTCTCCATCGTGTCCCGTCTTTTCCTCGATGTCGGGATCTTATCTTGGGATATCCTCCTTACGCTATCCAATCTCGTGAGGAGGAAGCGTCGCATCGGCCATGTCACACCCCAGGGCCACCCAGGCTATGGGAAGTACTGGCCCGAGTATAGGCCTCCCAAAGAGACCGACTCCCGCTGCTCTTGCCCTGCACTCAATGCGATGGCCAACCATGGTGAGTAATCATACCAGTCTCGGTGCTTCAACCTAGGTGGTAGTATTGGTATTGACGACATTAAAACCCAGGTATCATCCCACGTAGTGGCCGCAACATCTCGTTTGTCGAGGTTGGCCATCATATCCGGGCGACATACAACTTCAGTCCTACCTTCTGCTCATTTGTGCCGCGATTTGCCGCTCGCATGCTTAAGAAAAACTACAGCGAGGACTTATTTGATTTGGAAGAACTTGACCTACATAATGGTATTGAACACGACGGATCCCTCTTGCGTGAGTGATTTGACATGCTTGTTTGTGTATGTCTGTCTTTAGGCCTCGATTCTGCTCTCGAACAGACGCAATCAACAAAGCATACACCTTTCATTGAAGAGTTACTCGCGGCGGCTACCGGCAGCGACAAAGAAGACAACACTGTCATTACTACCAAAGATCTCTCCAGGATACTCGGCAAGCGGCGTGCAGTCGCACGCGCAGTAAACAAGGAGTTCTCCCTCAGCCTTTTCCACAAGATCTTTGGGAGCGCGAAGTACGTTGTTGCATCATCCATTTTAAGCGCACTTTTGAACGTTCTGTTAGTGCCGCGACCCTAATCACTGTCTTTGGAGGCCGTGTGGACGACCTCCATAATTTCCTTCATGAAGAACGACTCCCAGAGGGCTGGGAGTCCCACATCCGCCAACCTCACGGAATAACTATGATGCAATTAAACAAGACCATACTAGGAATTGAGCTTCGTGTGCGCGAGCAGGATTGGGCAGAGGCCGTACGGGAGGCTGCAGAATGTCATGAAGCTTCTGTTTGAAAATCCTCCCCGAAGCTACATACTTGAACGTGACGTTGGGAACTCGTCTTACGTTACCGACCTTACCTGCTCTCATTTATTTGATTGCCACACCCAGTACCCCTAACAATGATTATGATGAGTTCATTACCTTGGAATATACATTAATGTTCTTGGTCGTTTCACTCACAGTTGACAACAGAAATCACCCGTTGCATTGAATCTGATCGAAAAATAGTAAAGGTGCACGTTCCTCGTGCATATATTCGAGAGATTGTTCTGACGCTTGAGATTGCGTGAACACCTTGAAGACTCGGACACGTCCTCAGGGTAATTGCATATAACATAATTCAATCCCGTGCCCATTCCATGCGAGTACGATAAGAACCAGCTGAGGCTCGTGAGCGTTCCTCACGGCTACCAGTCTTCTCACACATCTGGACTCTGATCCCCTCAACTGACGGGAGTTTCTGAAAGGTTTGCCATTAGTACGGATTCAGAAAACATGTGGTTCTCTTATCTGTCGCACCGTCGTGCATGGTGAGCCTTCTATCATCATTGTTTGTTTCCTTAACAGACTCTGACGAGGTCCATAACCATACTAGTCGCGATAAGCAACGAGAGCGAGCAGAACGTATCGCATCCCTCAGGCCTCAAACCCATCTACCATGAGCCTCTCACATTCCACATAATACGAGGCAAAATAAACCGCAAATTGAGCGGAGCTAATCATCTCGATATTGCTAGGTGGGCGACCGGCCCTACTTTATGTGGCGCCCTGCCACGGATCCATCATGACGTTGTTATATGGATCAATAAACGAGTCGTTTCAAAACGTTAAATTTGAATACCACTCGTAAATCGTTATTGAGTAGGACTGTCATACCTCGTTCGTTAGGCGCTGCTGTAGCAGACGATAGGAGCGCCCAATGACGCGGTATGACATCAAATGTTTAAGACCTACTCAATATCGATTTTATTGTATTGACCCATAATAGTAATTGAATCCGTGGCAAGGGGTTACATCGAATATGGCCCGCGTAGCAATCTGTCTATTGACACCATTATGACATCAAAAGGTAAAATAAAGATACGCTCCAGATAACGCTGGAATTGATTTAGTAGGGTCCCGTTAATTAACGTCCCAAGGAAGAATACTTAAATTACATCCTTTGGAGCTTGTGTGCTTCTCAAGAACCACCCGACTTCAGCATCGTGATTCGTCACAGATCAGACAGCGTAACAGATACAGATATACTCCGAGTCAGCATCATGTCCACTCGCTTGTCCTCTGCTCCCCTCTATGTTCTGCTTGCCTTGACGGCCTTTGTTACTACAAGCTATGCTGCCGCAGGTAAGGCTGACTTGGCACAAAATCTAATACTGTTCACTCACATACGATGTGTAGCCACCATTCCGGTAACCTATAATTATAATGTAAGTGTCTGGTACCAAACCTCGTTATGTTATTAACCTCAAACGTAATTCACCAGTACGGCCGTGTAAGCCTTATATCGAAACCATGGATTGGCATCGCGATATTAATATTGTACACAGGGCGAGAGCTCGACTGCAACTCCTATTGTCACAGCGGTTGGCGAGACTCCAACTTTCTAGGTAAGGCTTCATATCAGACCTCGTCATATTGACCTCGCATGTAGTGTATCCAGGTGCCTCGTGTAAGCCTTGCTTCGCGTCAAATCCAATTGGCCTTGTGATGTTAATTTTGTACACAAGCCGAGCTTTACAACTACGCAATGTTAGTATGTTACCACGGTGTGAAGTGAACCGAACTGACTTAGGATCTACTTCGTTCCTCGAAGTCAATAGTTTCGTTTCAAAGTGAATCCTTTGGGGTCATAAAACCCTATGTTGGACATATTTCGTCGTTTGCGTCATATATGTAGGTTGACGTGAGAGGTTAGTAGATTAAGATTATATCAATTGAACTTGCGAATATTTTATCTGTCCTTCCATAGTATCCACAGTGTTGCATAACGTTCCACTCTCCTTTCGTTGTGGAGTGACTGTGAGGGTGTTATTATTTGAGTGATAGGGCATAGTACAGGTGGTGGTTATTACTGACGGGTGTAAGACTGTAAGTAGTCGAGACTGTCGTCCCTCGACCGTTACGCCATCAACCGTTAGGCCAAAAGGCAGTGATAATCAAAGCACGCTTTGATTATCGCGGACAGTATTTGTTTTATGCTGATTATGGGAACTCAGGTAAGCAGCGAATACATACCATTTTGTACCATTGACTCTTTAACGATTGCTGTACGTACGAGGGCTGGTCACCATGACTGTATACGGTTACGGCCGTACAATGCATGGTAGCCATATGGTTACTACCCGTACCGTACCACATATCATACGGTGTCCTCGATACCCTCGATAGTACGAGGGAAGTAGCATGATGCACGACAACTGAGACAGCGGATGCCAGGTCACAGAAAAAAATAGTTGTTTACTAACAGCACATAGTGGCACATAGCATAAGTGGAGCAATTTGGATTTCTGAATTGCAAAGAGTGGGGGCGTCGCGAAGAAACGGGTTCAGAGACGGTTCAAATAGGTAATTCGTACGGGAAAACTCACATCTAGGATTTCAGTAACATTAGGTTATGAAATGGTCGTAATCAAATTGAACACGCTGCTCCTGGTGGTTCTGTCAAATCGACCAGTATCGCGCCCATAAGGATATACAGGATATAAAAGCTGGTTGTCCAACAGTGTTCCTCCATCCTCAGAGATATCATTCGAAATCCCCCTCAAAAAATTCCATACTATCTCGCACAGAAAATGTGTTTCCGTTTCCTTGCCGTTGTTGCTTTGGCAGTATCTGTGTCTGTCAGTGCATGTACACCCGCAGCACAAAAATGCCACACAGCTCAGGATTGCTGTCAAGACTTGATTTGTGTCTATGTAGTATGAGCAGGTCGCTGTGCAGCCATGATTATATTATATGACTCACCTACGCGCCTTAGGATGGCCCGAATGACCCCAAGGGTTTGAGATGCACATGGATCACATCGCAAGTGGATCCCACCGAGCAAACGGGCAGCTTGAATCTATTTGTCTAACATTGGCCTCGAAGGCTAACTTATGGATATCTCTCGATGTATGTGGTGGAGCCAACGAGATATCACTTCATTTATAGTCGTGATTCATGAGAAGAGCGTTGTTGCCTTGATAGTAGTTTCGTCAACATTGTGGGCAGAACGGATCACAAATTGCATGTATAATCTTGATTGCTAAATTGTATGTCAACGCACATGGCAGTAACCTGAGCATGTCGCGGGTAAGCAGGCGGAGCCGAATAATAATTGACAAGAGCGAACTTTGAACCTGCACGTGATGCATTGATTATGTAATATACTTATTATGTTGACCTTGTGGTACAAGGTAATTACATATAACATAATTCAATCCCGTGCCCATCCCATGCGAGTACGATAAGAACCAGCTGAGGTTCGTGAGCGTCCTCACGGCTCCCAGTCTTCTCACACATCTGGACTCTGTTCCTCTTCAACTGACGGGGGGTTTCTGAAAGGTTTGCCATTAGTACGGATTCAGAAAATATGTGGTTCTCTTATCTGTCGCATCGTCGTGCATGGTGAGCCTTCTATCATCATTGTTTGTTTCCTTAACAAACCCTGACGAGGTCCATAATCATACTAGTCGCGATAAGCAACGAGAGCGAGCAGACCGTATCGCATCCCTCAAACCTATCTACCATGAGCCTCTAACATCCCAGGACAAAGAGATTCTGTCTCGCTCAGTTTCGTCTCTGGTGGCTTCTGTGCAAACATCATCTCTGTCTCCATCAGACATCCTCGTTGCATACTCTAAGAAAGCCCTTCAAGCGCATGCTCAGACAAACTGTCTGACCGAGGTTATGATTGCATCTGCAGAGACTTGGGCTAGCACTGCGAACAAATCAGGTCCACTGGCAGGCGTCCCAGTCTCGCTCAAGGACCTGGTAAGTGTGAAGGGTTGGGATTCCTCCATGGGATACTCAGCTCTTGTGGGCAAACCAATGGCTGCCGACGGCGCGTTGGTGAGGTTGCTGCGAGATGCAGGTGCCGTTCCATATGTCAAGACGAACGTTCCCATGACTATGCTCTCACTGGAGTCGACAAACGATGTTTTTGGTTCTACCGACAATCCCCACAAGAAGGGCTACACCTCAGGAGGATCGTCTTCAGGTGAAGCTGTACTCCTTGCGCTCGGTGCAGCCAGACTCGCGATAGGCACAGATGTCGCGGGGAGCGTTCGGGCTCCTGCACACTTCTCTGGTGTCTATTCAATCAAATCAAGTATGTATAGATTCTTGAAGCAAGGTAGCGCGTCCAGTATACCTGGCCAGGAAGGCGTTCCTGCAACACATAGCCCTATGACCAGAACGTTGGAAGATCTAGAGACATTCTGGCGTGCTGTGTTCCAGATGAAGCCTTGGAACTACGACTACTCGGTAAATAAAATTTCTGAATATCAGTGCTGTTAAGTTGCTGCATGGTAATATGGTAATATAGGTTCTTAGAATTCCTTGGAGAGATGTCAAACTTCCAGAAGATCGCCCCATCAGGTGGGGTGTCCTGTGGGATGACGGTAAGCGGAACATCTCTATGGAGTTTAAGCTCAGCATATTCACATTTACATAAAGGTGTTGTGACACCCTCGCCTGCCTGCGCGCGAGCATTGAAAACGGTCACTGCGATACTCGAGAAGAACGGCCACGAAGTTGTCACTCTGTAGGTCAAATTTCTTCTTTCCTGAAAGCGTTTCTCATCCCACTTCAGGCAGTGCCCGAGCCCATACGAAGGTCTTCAAATTGCGTCACAGCTCCTCCTTGCTGATGGCGGCAAGACGGCTTCCAAAAACCACCGCGCATTCGAGTCCAACGATGCTGGAATGATTTCAGCGTTCCGCGGCCTTCGTCTCCCCTACTTCGTCATGAAACTCTATGCTTGGTATTACCGCTACATACGCCGCGATCCTATATATGCTGGTCTGATCGACACTCATTACGAGAAGACCATACCAGAATTCTATGCTCTAATTGCGCGCAGGGAGGACTATCGTTCTCGCTGGTTCAAAGTGTGGCGAGACGCGGAGGTCGAAGGCCGCCAGGGTGATGAAGGAGTTGACTTCATTCTTACTGTACCAAACAGTCTTCCTGCTGTTCCTCACGGAGGGATGAGGCACGGATGGAAAGCGTGTGGGTACACGTTCCTATTCAATCTGGTATGTTCCACCCCTCTTTAACAGCTCCGATCTGAAATTCACTCTGAATTTTTGAAAAGCTTGATTATAGTGCGGGTGTTATGCCAATCACGCATGTGGATGCGATAACTGATGCTCTCCCGCGTACTTTCCGTCCACGAAACGCCATCGAACGAAACTACTACAAGATGTATGATGCAAGCGCTATGGAAGGTCTCCCCATTGGCGTGCAGATTGTAGGAAGACGGCTTGAAGAGGAGCGCGTCTTGGAGGGCATGAAACTGATCGAACGCCTGTTGAGGGAAGCAGGTGCTGGTTATGTCGGTTTGCCGTTGTAGAAAGGTGCTTGTGTACCAACCCTGACATGTACATCATTCCATTTCATCTGTACAGAAACACATACAGCATTTTCGGAAAGAGGGACAATAATAACAGGCAAAACAAATTTCTAGGCATGGATTTAAATCGAACATGCTGTCAGGCTCCCTAGGCCTGTCTCTCTATTTCCGGGTTTCCACAAAAAACAGGGTTTAAAGCTATTACATGTACAGACTCATTGCGCAGGGCCAATATATGCCAGTGTCAAGAATCCGGGGTCCCAGAGTTATAGACACGTCAACCATATCCGCAACATTTCAAGCGACCGTGACAGCACACTGGATGCTGAGCGCTGAACTCTTTCAGGGTCATCGAAATTCATTGTAGATATCATATCCAGTTGCCAGGTACTAGAACCTGAGGCCTGATATCTGGCTGATTTATAGCCAACTTAAATGATGCGGCGAATCGTGATATGACCTCCCTGACGCTATCACGATATCATAAATTAGAGCGGTGAAATCACTTGCAGAATTGACTCCTCTACCAATGATAAGATCGACCGATGAAGGAGGCCAAAACCTCGAGGACCATTGCGCTTCAGCAACGTTTAAGCTTGTGCAACGCGAGGCAACACGGGAATCCAGACTAGCGTCATGTTAGGAAGGCGTCATTATGATCAGATTTGGGATGAAGAAAGAATGCGACTCCGTGATCGCATACCCGCGAGGAGTAGCCTAGGTGTGCAGACTGCCAAAGTATGCATCAGATCAGCGGCAGCTCGATTAACAACATCTGCACTTGACATGTTGGCGAGGAAGGCGATTCACTTTCTTGAACCCTTGATTGTATAGACTCGGAGGCCTTTTTACATGACCTCGATGGTGTTGCGCCAGGGCCCAGCGGCCAGCCTGAGTCGTAGGCTCGACGTTTGCGCCATTCCCCATCTTGACCATGGTGAACATTGATGCCTAAGGGTCCAGTCTGGCAGTCTGGCTCAAGCTAGCCTATTAATCATGGCGCTAGCTGCAATGCGTGGGCTGTTGACAGTTGTGGTTAAGATCAAGAACTAAAGCCGACTGCCAGATGTTCCGATGATGATCGTCGGACTGACGGATGTAGTAAATCAGCCTGCCTTTCCGGTTTTCAACGATCCAGGCGTCCCTTCAAAAGTGCTGAGCCTGTTAATGGACTCGCACAATACCTGCGCTGACCGTTCTAGCTTCTCATTCACCCCCGTATCCATCAAACATAAATCCGATGACTATTGGATGTATCGTATCTGTACGTAATACACCAGCGCGAAACCTGATCTACAAAATTCATTCCTTTTCTTTCTATATCAGCCAAAAAAATACATATGCTGCACAAAGCGCAATCAAAACTTTCGCTTGAGGATTCGTATTCGACCATGCGGCACTTAAGCTGTTCGATACGTTGTAAGTAGATGCGGACGATGAAGATCCGCCTTTACCCGAAAGGGTTCGGCCTTGCCCAGAAAACGCACCAGAAGATGCGGATTTGGCGTGTTGCGCGACAGCCGATTTGAGGCCACTAGAATATGTGTTAGAACGCATTCACAAGGATGAAATTTAGTGAACGAACGCCGGGTTAGCGCCACGGATCCTGTGCACTTCTTCCCCGCCTACCAGGAAAATGAAGGTTGGCCTGCGAAATATGAGCACAGAAAAAACATGGCAAGAGGATGAAAACTCACATCGCAGTGACGGAGTACAGGCTCGCGAGCTCGTTCGAGCCCTCGGAGAGGTCAACCTTGACGAAGTTCACATGGGCGTTGTCATTCGCAAGGCCCTCAAACACCGGCTTGATTGCCTGGCAAGGAGGGCACCAACTCGCAGTGAAATCTATGACCTGAAAACAAACATGTCACTTGAGATCGATCAACTGAGGACACAAATACTTACAGTGAGCTTGTTGGCATCGGTGGTGAGCTCCTTAAGCTGTGCCGTGGTGGAAATTTCAGCAACCATTATGAGAGTTAATGAAGTGTGGGATGTGAGAGAGATTGAAGAATGTTGTGGGCGATGGGTTTATATGTGTGGGCTATGCTGGACGGTATAAGTAAGCTGCTACGTGACGTGCTTGGAAAGCACGATATAAGCGGGTCATGTGAGGACCACATGACACGTGACCGGTGACCACCGCGTATCATTGCGTTTACAGCTTCTTTCACTACTACCATCGACTCCAGCGGTATTCAATCCGCCTCTATACAAATTTACGACAACCGTCACTAGTTAATAATACAACATGTCTGGACGCGGAAAGGGTGGCAAGGTCCGGAAAGCATTGGCTGGCGTCACCTTATTCTAGCTGACTCACAGTACAATCATAGGGACTCGGAAAAGGCGGTGCCAAACGTCACCGGAAGATTCTGCGCGACAACATCCAGGGTATTACCAAGCCAGTGAGTGGTATAGTGTTCTATAATCATTCGCATGCTCATATTCTCCAGGCTATTCGCCGTCTTGCCCGTCGTGGTGGCGTGAAGCGTATCTCAGGTCTCATCTACGAGGAAACCCGCGGTGTCCTCAAGATTTTCTTGGAGAACGTCATCCGGGACTCTGTCACTTACACAGAACATGCTAAGCGGTAAGCCCCGTGATCAACTTACTTCAGTGCTTGTTGACTCATCGGAACTATAGCAAAACAGTTACTGCTCTTGATGTCGTCTATGCGCTGAAGCGGTCAGGGCGCACGTTGTACGGTTTCGGTGCATGATCAAAGTATTGTTTCCACTCGCCACGCATATGTACCAATAGTGATTTGAATACCTCTTTCGGTCTGGTCAGTGTAGCCGTTTACCGCGTCCTTTTAGAGATCCTTTGATTTTGAGGCAAGCTCGTTCGGTTGTTGTATACTTTAACTTACAGATAGGGTCATCTTGTATCCAGCAGATGACGCTGTGTTGTAGAATATACTGCAACCATCTGATTTTAATTCATCTCAGGTGGTCCTTTCACGTGGCAGCCCGGTGCGTAACCAGCACTTAAAAAGAGTACCGCTGGATACAGCTGGATACATATGATTAATTCATTGATCATCCGCTATCACAATGAAGCGTCACCACGTCATCGCATATCCATTACTACGGATTATTGAGATCCCTACATTAATTAGAACTGCTGGAATCAAAAAAACCAGCCGGCCGAGCTCAGCGCTTAAACCTGCGATGAGTTGCTATCTCTGCATAACGGCACGATGACATCGTCGTACATGAATCAGGAAAGTTTCGAATTCTATTTCGAACGCCCGTCCCTCGACTCTCGAGATCATCCGCAAACGTAATCTGCCAATCACGACGACATACGCAACTAACTATACGTATACAGGAACTCGTCATATGACGACGCTATTCGAGAGGTATGTAGGCGCTTGCGATCATAACGCACCGAAAGCTCAGACAGCTATATTTAGTCAATCAATCAGTTCGTAGCTTGCTCGTCGACACGCAATGTAACATCAAAGCATTAAGAGATGAGGAAAAACACAACAATGCTACGAGAACACAGCAAAGCAGACGATCGAAACATCATGCATCATGCGTCATGGATTCTCCACTAACTCCACCTCCACCTCCGCCTCCTCATCTACATCATGTGCCTCATCTGTAATATCACTCTCGCTCTCCGGGGGTATTGGTTCTGACGGTGGGGGCTCGCTTAAATTAAGGCTAACCTCGGGCTCCGTGGGAGAGTCGTCAACAGGCACAGACTCTGGAGATGATGCTGCCGGAGGTTCCACGAGGGTGACCACTACGTCTGCCTCAGGAGAAGGCTCGACGGGTGTCTCGAGTAATTTTTCAGATTCTGGAACTGGCTCCGGTGAATCAGATTTTTCGGCAGCTACAGTCTCCTCCACAATATCAGGCACTATAACACTGGCCTCGACATCTTGCGGAGCTGCGGAAGCTACTGGGCTCGAAGGCTCAGCTAGGGCGGCGGTCTCTTCAGACTCTTCTTGAGGAGCTACAGGCTCGACAACTGGCTGTTCCTGAACGATCTCAATTGTTGGTTCAACATTCGGAGTCGTCTCTATCTCGCGTTCCGGCACATCTTGTACTTCAGGGGGAGCTGAGCTAGACTCTTTGAGCAACGTTAAGGACAGATCTTCCAAAGGTGGAGAGTTGGATCCGGTGATGGTTGCCACTTCGTCGACGAGCACCTCTTCGACGGGGACCTCTTCGACGCCAAACCCAAATTTGTCGGGAGAGAACTCACTCGGCTGACTGGACCATGAGGCTTGCGAATAGTCCTCAGGCTCAGCAGATAGCGCAGTATGCAATAAACCGCTTTCAGTGACACCCTGGTCGCCACCTTTTGCAGGCTCTTCTCCAGCATTGTATGCCTCACTGAACACCATAGTATCTGTGCGATTGCGCCCCAGCCGGCGTGGACTATCGGTGCCACGCGGGCTATCACTAGACAGTCCCGGAGGACTCGTCTCGCGAACATTCGGAGGTTGTGCTTGTTCTGCTGTAGGTGCATTTTGATCCTCCCGCTCACGTGGCGGATTGATGGCCGCTGCAAGAAGACGTGGAGGTTCGACGTCCTCTTCGCGTCCCCTTCTGCCTGACAGGACAGTACCAGGGGGGATGACAAGAAACTCGGTAGGGACAAGATCGAATTGACTAGTAAGTTTCAAGAAGCGAGCGTAAAGCGATGATTCGGCCTCCGCTTGCTCAAAGGCTTCTCGGTGATGGAAATATGCATGCGCAAATATTCTGCCAAGGCGACGAGCAAGCGAAGAGAAGTGTCGATATGACGTAGGAGGTATGGAAAGACTAGTGTCGCGAAAAGAACGCATGGTTGATTTGAGTTTGAAGAAGGCGGCGTAACGGAGGACATCAGCAAAGATGCTATGAGACGTGATCATGACTCACCGAGATGGAAAAGCTCGAGGTGAATTTAATAGTGCGGTTGCGCTGTCCAACGTATGAAGGATGTAATCAATCGCACAGCATTGCTGAGGATATACATAAGCAGTTAGAGAAACCATATTTTTTTTAAATGATCACCAAACGAACCTCCATAGCACCGTCATTACCGTGTGCGACACACAAATATAACCACTCTCCCGCCTTCATCTCGGGACAAGTGATACGAGTACATTCCTGCTGCAACATCGTGATGAGGGGATGGGATAGGTCTTGTGCGAGACGTCTGATGGGCAAACAAGTTAACGCATAAAACACTGAACGAGTGAGTAAGGAGAGGTACCGTAATTGTTCATAAATCCAGCAACCTCGATCGACTGCTACGTCGTTCTTGCGTTCAGGATCATCAGGCTTACGTTCGACTTGATCAGAAAGATCAGAAGACTTTTCTTCGGCATCCTTGAAAGCAGCTTTTCCCGGAAGAGACACTATGGAATCAACATCATGGACGTCAAGACGAATAAGAAGCGAAATGTATTCCTGAAGCTGGAACGCGCTATCGAGAGAAGACAAGGATGGGAGAGATTTGACAGGATAGAAGGAGGACACGCGTGAGCCGCGTAGTGGGCGCTGTACAGCTACAGCCATCGTCAGTAACAGTGAGCTCGGGGTTGTCATCGCTATTGAGAGCGTTGAGCACAACGTCCCACAAGGGTTGACTAAATTTGATCGTGGGAATAAACTTCCAAGTTAGTATATATACTGGAAATTTGGTTAGATGTCCCGGACGGGCCGTCTCGTGCGTTGTACTTCTGCTGGAAGCGATCGGAATTCCGTCGAAACCCTCCGAATTGATATCTGTGAGACGATCAGTCGCAGCAATTTGAAACAGCGTGATGATTATACATGGGGGACAGAGCGGACTTGGATGTACAAGAACGGATGGACGGGGAGAACTCAGGTTCCGTAAGTTAGGTTAGCTTATTTACATATGAAATTTGTTCCAAATTCGTTGGTTTGTAGATTAGTACGTACCTGATTGTTGTACCACATGATCATCGAGATCTTTTCTCCCGGTTGTATTGAAACGTCCAAGGCGTGGATATCTAACTTGAATGGTGCCTCATCATCTATATATTTAGGGCGCTCCTTGCGAAGTTCTGCGATTGCCATCCCCCGTTCATCTCCACGATGTCCGACAATCATCTACACGAGAAGAACTCAGTCATCGACCTTGAGAAGGACTCTTCTTCTAGGGAGGATGGTGTCTCTGTGATCGTCCCCGGAGACAAGCACGGATGGCTCTCTCACCCGTTAGCAAGATCTCTTCTCAGCTGGGGCGTGGAGGAACGAGGTGAGTCTTCCTCACAACCACATACTCATCTGATCTTCGTTCGTAGGCATAGTTCCAGTTCCCGAAGAAGAGCAGATGGATACCCAATATTATAAAATTTTCTTCGTTTGGTTCTCAATGAACTTCAACATCCTTTCGTAAGTTCTCAGAGCATTTCCGCTGTCAGCTCGTTTCTTACAGATAAACTAGCTTCTCTACCGGAACACTCGGACCAATCGCTTTCGAACTTGGACTTCGCGATTCCTGTCTTGTTATCTTATTCTTTAATCTCCTGGCATGCGCGTTGCCTGCATATTTGTTCGTATACTTTCCTGAACATGGATACCGTGTCATTACTTGACTTCTCTTCCACAGAAATACATGGGGACCTCGAACTGGCATGCGTCAGATGATTCAATCCAGATATAGCTTTGGGTAGTGTGCTTGTTTTCCTTATTTGTTACTTGGCTGACTTTCCTTCCACAAGCTATTTTGGTATCATTATACCCGCTGTCCTCAATCTGATCGGCCTGTGTGGCTTCAATATCCTTAATGGTATACTCGGCGGACAGGCACTAGCTAGCGTGTCTAGTAATATGAGCTGGGAGTGCGTATGGCATCTCGCAGCATCAATCATTTTTACCTAACCCGTATCAGTGTCGGCATTGTCATTATCTTCGCCATTGCGCTCCTCGTACGTTCTCTTACGTGACTCTCGAAATCCTCTGTCTTCACAATGTTCACACCTCCAGATCTCCTTTATGGGCTACCGAGTACTCAACTGGTAAACGGCATCATTTATCCATCAAAATTTTAGTCTTACAGCTTTCAGGTACGAACGTGTCGCGTGGTTCCCGGTTCTTATCGCATTCTTGGTCGCACTCGGCGTGGGTGGTAAAAACCTGTACAACGCTCAACCAGCGGCACCTGCAACCGCTCCTGGCATTTTCGGCTTCGCAGCTGTTCTTGCTGGTTTCGTTATTACCTACTCGGCAATGGCATCCGATTTTACAATGTATTATTTGCCCACCGTTCCCCGGTAGGTTTCATTTCATGCCCTGTGGCGTTGCGCTTCGCTTAGGTATAAATTTCCAGGTCCAAGATCTTTTGGTATGCATATCTGGGGTATCTCGTGCCTATCGTACGTCAATCTCTTTATCGGTACCCCCCAAAGCGTCTTCTGATTTATCTCCAGATCCTTCTCGAGTGCCTTGGAGCTGCAGCAGTCCTTGCTTCATCAAACGTTCCTAGCTGGAGCGCGGGCTACGGAGCAGCCGAGAACATCGGTGGCCTCTTAGAGGCCATGCTCAGCCCGGTCGGTAACTTTGGGAAGTTCCTCACCGTTCTTCTCAGCCTGAGCGTCACCGGTAACATTGCGTGCACGCTTTACTCTATGTGTTTCAATTTCCAAGTGATGATCCCGGCTATGTCAAGAGTCCCGAGATACGTCTTTTCGATCGTTGGCACCGTAATGTCGGTCTTCCCATTTATACTGTGTATCTTGTCACTGGCTGATCTCAAATTTTTCCCCTGGACACCCACAGTGCATTGCCTTTATCGATTGTGGGCGCCCACAAATTCTATACGGCGTTGACCAATTTCCTTTCACTAATCGGGTACTGGGCGAGTGCTTACGGCGCCATCCTCCTTGTCGAACACCACTACTTCCGCAAAGGCGACTTCACCACCTATGACCACTCCATATGGAATGTTCCAGGGCGTCTACCCTGGGGAGCGGCTGCCATCACAGCTGTCATAATGTCTTTCGCCCTGATCATACCCTGCATGAATCAGCTGTGGTATGCAGGCCCCATCGGCATGACCTCAGGCGACATCGGTTTCGAGGTTGCATTCCCTCTTGCGGGTCTACTTTACTTACCCCTTCGAAAGCTAGAGCTCAAATACCAGAATACCCAATATTAAGCACCGCTTGGTCGAGATAGAGAATATATACACGACGTGCTATGAAACGTGTACCGCCTTACTGTGTCTATACCTAATACCGCTTACCTTGAATCAGAACAGCAACAGGAATCTAGGGCCGCTCGTATCTAGTTTAGTTTACTCCTCCCGCATCTTATCGTATACTCACGAAATTGCAAATCGATGTCTCCGAGATATCACCTGTGAAGGGCCGATCCTGTGGTATACAGCCATGGAGAAACAAACACATCGAATTCACATCTTCCGCCGTCGTAGATAGGTGCTTTGGAGTTTGAGTGGGAAGAAGAGTGGAGTGTGCAGAAAATGTATAGATTCATGGAAGAACTATCGCGCATCCTTGAGAAACTGCTGCGGGGATGCCTCCCGACGTGGCAAGAATAACACGCACGGGTCCCGGCATCGCATGCGTCTGCACGCGTGTCAATTGACAATATTGATCAGCCTGTGCGATAGAGGCTGTTGCGGGAAACTTTTACTGAAGCCGCTGTCGGATCTGCGAGAACCAAGTTGAGTCGCATAAGCGATCTGGCATCAAGGTACTGGCTGTTTCACTAGTGGGATATGAACAGGAATCAGAAGTCATGCACATGTGTGGCGCCCCGCGGCTGCATGGTAACGCGTAACGATTCGCCACCATTAATCGAAACCAGCTGCCAAGCCGTGGCAAAAAACAGGTACCAAAAGTAAGAACATAATGAAAAAGACCCCGGAAACCTTGTCGGCTCTGCCGGATCGTAATTTGACATTTTCTGGCCTTAGCCTAGTGTAGTGGGTTAGCATATGTCACAATAGAACATACTGGATCGCTATACGTGCTCCCAATGCATCAGAGGGAATGAAGACTCTGATCCCGTGCAACACCAACCAGACCCACGTCTGGACCAGCCATGGCTGCCACTTGATCGCGCGCGAGCATAGATATAGTTCACTCTGGGACTTCAAGTTGGACCTAGATGAACTGTCTAATACGGCACGCCTTCCGAAGCTCCAGCAGGGTATGCTGTTCATATGTGCACTTCGGGAAGCTCACTTGGATGATGGCGTCAGACTCAAAGGCGAGGCTCTTGAGAGGCTCTGTAATCCCCCTTCCTACCCAGTACTGTTGATGATCCTGGTATTGACTTCGCATTCTCAATGTTCCTCGCACTCGAACACTCTTCAGAAGCAGCCTATGAAGACATACGCACTGCTGGCAGCTCATCGATGCTTTCCGTTGTTGTTGACCATATGTGCATTAACACATGCGTTGCGTTCGTTGGACCATACGCAGATCGCGAGACTTGTCCGGAGCGCAGAACACTCCGATATGATCAGGTCAAACTCCAGAGTAGTCGAGGCAAAGTGAAAGTTCTACAGGCTGTGTTCCACACGATCCCAATTGGACCACACATGCAGGCCCTTTGGCGTAATCTTGACAGTGCTCGCCAGATGCAGTACCGCAGACAGCGTACCCAACAAATTGCCGTAGAACTTATATGAAATGATGCCAACATTTGTTGGTCGCAAGGAGACGAGTTTGTTTCGGATTGGATTTCCGTTGTAAGTTGATGTTGTGAATATTTTTGCCTACAAAGTCGCCCACTAGAACTATTCCACTTCGAGCACTCGACGACCTAGCGAGCCATGTTACTTAATTACCGGCTTCGAATGGTCTGGACAGCGTAGTCTATTCTTTCCAGGCCAATCTGCAGGGATATTACAGAAAGAATAGGATTAGCTGTAGAAGAACCTATCAGGCTTCACAAGACAAAAATACGACATCCTCATACCTGCAGTGTTCGACCACTTTTCTAGAAAAGAACGCAAAGGCCGCAGTAGAGACGATTCTACGCTCGCGATGTTATCCGGATCTCGTATACCAGTCTGGGACATCGTTAATTTAATTTACATCGATGGATAAAAAAACGTACCTTATTGTCCTTGTCCCGTTGTAGTAGTACATAGTAAAATGATAGTACCTCTGTGATTCGAGACGGCTCCAAGGACTTCTCAATGTCGTCAGCCACCTGGACCGTCGACAAATAATCAGACGGCATTGTCCTGAACAGGATTGGTCCGAAGGATCTTATGAGCAGTGGTGACGCAAAGACGTTTTGTTCGCCCGACAATGCGGGGATCTGTAGTGCGTCTAGAACAAATTCCTTAAGAAGACCAATGGCGGCCGCCCGCATCTGAGGAAGCTCTGCGTCAGATGCTAGGGTCATCAAGATCTGTTGCTGAAACACAGATGGTAGTCGCGCAAGAATCAGTGCAATCAGCCGAAGACTGAAATGCCTGATAAACGGGTCAAGATGGGTGCTTGCCAAAGCAGGAAGAACTACGCATAGCGACATAGCGAGGTCAGGTGGGAGGTCAGGCTGTGTGCGATCTTGCGTGACGCAACGAAAGATAAGGAAGAGAGATTCGTCCAGGGCGAAATTTATCTGAATTGAAGTCACGAGCATCGAGTGCAACTTGGAGAATAGATCTTTCGGTAAAGGATAGCTTTCTTTTTCGTGAGCGAGCATGACCAGCGAACTCATTGTCGGGACATCCTGTGGTGACAGGTTCATTACCCGAAGGGTATTCTGAGAAAAAAACGATTCAGAGTATAATATTTGACGGTTTCTCTGACGTACCAGTATGCTCTGAATGGCGTTCTCTCCATCTTGCCACTCGGGTTCGATTGCAGAAGTCAGTGTAAGACGAGGATAGTACACCTCGAAAGCTCTGGCACATAATGATGCCCTGATACACGATGCACACGCTAAAACAGTTGCGTCGAGAAGCGAAGTGATGAGTTTCTGCAAGTTGATGAGTCAGCAAAGCTATCTACAGCAAATGTTGTAGACAAACCCTTGCCTCCGCAGCATCTGCTTCGCTGCCTGTTTTGATTATCCATGTGTAAAACGCCTGCGACATGCGAGAGACCTCTTCAAGCAATGAACGACCACTATCCAGCGTGAGCGTGAAGTTACGTCCTAGCGAAGAGACCGCTGAACTAACGCCGGAAACCAAGGGTGAGACTTCGCTCAGCGCAGTCCTCTTTCCAAGAGTCAACCTAGGTAGAGCTATGATGCCATGAGACATCAGTAATCGGCCAACACGTAAAATATACTCACATTTTGTAGACAACACGATAACGTTGATGAGACTCTGTACAGACCCAGGAGCGTACTCTTCTTCAGTTTCATCTTCGCGGGCTAGTTGGGTTAGTTGTTCCAGAGTCTCTTGAATGACAATTAAGACCTCCTTTGGACTGCTGTGCTCGGACATCAGTCTAATGAGGCCAACGGCCTCTTCACGGCGGCACCGAAGGAGATCGGGTAGGATGTCGAGGGGTTCCTGCAGGGAGTCCATTGAGCTCCAAAATATAATAAAACATGTCACGTACAAGAAGGACTGGACCCCCGTGATATTGAAGAATACTATCGTATACGGTCTTGAGAGATGGCTGATGTGTTTCATCATCGACTGCGACTGTTATTATAGCGGTTATATTTTTAGTGATTGCCTGTGAATCGCCTTGAACAAAAATTCAAAGTATGATGAGGTTGAGCACTTCATCGTCGAGGTCAGGCGACAGTTGTAGCGCCTTGAGTAAGACATTCTTGGCCATGATGCATTTCCCTACAAGCGATGTTGGTAAGTAGCTAGTCGGATACGGCTTGAAACATACCACAATCGGCAACAAGATATGTAACACCAATGAAGGCTTTCGAGATGGGCTATCGGGCTGTAGTTTCCTCGATGGAGGTACCACTGGCACAATTAAACACGAGACGAAGGGAACAAAGTGGGACACTTACGATGCTCAGCACAAAATGTGATGACGACGGTGACCAATAAAAGTCTAACAAACGAGGATGAGTACCCAATGTAATGAACTTGAATGACGAAACAAAACAGCAGCCTGAGCGGCCGTTCCCGAGGCTCCGTTACATCACTGTTCTCAGTATGTAGTCCTCTACTTGTATCACATGCGATTCAATATTCAATATTCAATCATGCCTTGCCTTTCGCATGTGCGATATCTCGCATAATGCCTATACGTATATTCCACCTGTGCGTCTTGACTCTTGCAATTGGGTTCGATTCTAGTATTTGCTGACTCGTGCCCTTTGCCTTCGACAGAAACATTCGTTTTCCTTCTAGGGTTGAGCACGGGTGAACCCCGGGTGAGTCGCTGAAGCCACACCACACCCATACCCGCAAACACCGCACCCGCCACGGTACGGATGTACACCGACCCGCCAATTCTGCGGGTATGAACGGTGTTTGCGGTATACCGCGGTTTTTTCACAGACCCGCGGGTAAGACATTGACATAGTAGTATCAGCAGAAGTCTTACGAAGTTCCGCATCTAGGTCCTCTTCGTCGTCAGACTTTGTCGCCGTGTCAATGGCATCAACATCGATTACCAATGGTTCGGAGGATGATGGCAGTGATGAAGGTGTCTTTTTCGAAACAAGACAGTTTTCACTCTCTTCAAAGGACGGGTAAGTACATCCACACTCTTCTTAACTGCCTGGCTGACAGATGATGCTATCGAAGACGATTTTGACGAGTATGATTGGAATCCCTTCTCATTCACTCTGACTGTTTTGTCGTACTTGTATATTTTATTCTCATTGAATCATTATCTCAGGATGTCCATTTTTTGCGGAGGTCCCCGTGCTTGGCTTGCATATTTGCCTACCTCATTGTTTTATGACCCGTTGTATTATGCGATCCCCATGGCTCTCTGCATCGCCCATGTGCTATGAAAATAACACGAATTGTTTGACTGCTCCCATCCTGCGTCATGCTTCCCAGCGCATTGGTCGTAAGCCGTCTGATGCATAACTGGAGGCAAACATCATCCTCACAATCTTGCGACATTCTGAAGTCCTGCGGGCGAAGCTTGTGAGTTCATTTCATGAAGTGCACCTGCGGTGTTTCTTGATGCGCCTTCCCATTACTTCCCTCGCCACGTTGATCGCAGTACATCCTATCTCTGACAATGTTGTCTTTGAGTGCCTCAACTTGCGCATGTAAGGCTTTGCCTGGACAAAAATATGGTATGCGCCCAGTATGACCGGCACGCTGTTGAGTTCTCTCTTGCTGATGATGTGACGTTTCTTCATTTCGACGTGCTCCACTGAGCGTCCGATCCACAGATCATCAGGAAGTGCGTCATCCAGGGAAATGTCTTCTTGTTTCTCGTATGGTAACGAAATACTTGATGGTCTCATTGAACAAAAGTAGTATTGTCTTAGATAAATCTGGAGCGATCACTCTTTATCTGCCCTCCATGCGACAGGGCATTGACACACCAAACGCTGACAGCGTGCATGACTTGGCATGAACATGAGATGAATGTACTGATATGGTAAAAATGGAAAGGCAAAGTCGGGGATGGCGTGTTCATGCGGCAGCGCGGTAAGGACTGCCAGCCTCGTGAAGGATAACGTTGGTAAACATAAACTAGGCGATATGAGGTATCATTCTCGTATCAAGAGAGTGGAAGAACAATTGGCAAGGACCCTTGGTAGAGCGGGATACTAAAAGAACCAGACGAGCGAGAGTATTGCCATAGTAATCATAAACTGAATGAATGGAAAGATAAGCTGCAGTGACTTCAAAAGCTTCATGAGCCATGGAGGCATGGATGCCAGTATCGCGCGTAGATGTTGAACCCTATGCTTGGGGAGGTGACGAGGGCCAAAAGGCGGGAATTTCAGAGTGAGCGTGCGCTGGCGCATGAGGATCTTGCTCAAAACGATGAGGAGTACGACGCAGAGACTCAGAGAGCTTCCGACAAAGAAGACTCCGTGTGAGAGCGTATAACGCAGCGAAGACGGTTGAGATTCGTGCGTAGGGACCTCGATGTTAACAGGGGAATCTAGTCGCGGCGCGTTGAACCAAACTGACCCCGATATCAAAGCCTGAAGTTGATAAATAAAACCATGCATCATCAGAGGATAAAAAATACTGCTGACGATGTGAACTCACCGAGAACAGTGTCCAGTTAAGGGAGACGATAAGCATCTCAAGAGCAACTTCGTCGGGACTTAATATTTCTTCCTCTTCCGATTCTGATATCGGCCCCTCGACCTTTTCCAAGTCTAAGAAATGCTGCTTTTCCATGTCGCGATGTTCATGAGAAATATTACACTTGGGAGTACTTCGAGTGAGGAATTCTTCAGTACAATACAGCTGGAACAAACGGAAAATGGGCTTGCCTGTCATCCATTTCCACTAGGCGCGCAGATCGATATTACTAGTAAGAGAGGGTTACGGGAACGTTCTCTATGATGTAGATGGCTTTATGACTGGAGGAAAGTACAGGATACCAAACAACTTGCAATGCGACTTATATATGTACTGCCGAGATGCTCGGTCCATCTGCTTTGCTTATGGAATCTGAGACATAAAGTGGCCACAACTGGTACACGTAGTACATACTAGCTGCCAAGCGACACAATTGAGAAACTCCACGCCATTGACCACCTACGGAGTGCCAAACATGCTCCAATTGAACCCCCAAAATTGTAGTCCAGCTGCAAGGTGGATGACTTCGTCGGGCATTTCTTCATAGCCGGCGGCCCCGGTATGACACGCCGATAAGAATATGTTGTTACCCATGATTTCGGATACCGTGAAGAGTTTATCTCTTATGACGAACAAGCGCTTACGGCCTTGCATGAATACCGAATGACAAGCCAGGTGTTGCATACCGTCGTTTGTCCCACAACGGCCTCCACCTACTACACGCGCCGTCACATCCATATTTCGACAATCACTTCCTCATGTCCTACATCAAATACCAAAAGCGACTTCTGCCTCGACTATCTACCCCATAAATGCGGCCTCGTATTTCAGCATGCAGAGTGCGTAGCATTTCTTTCTATCTTCCATTCTTCTCCTTCCCCTGCCAGTTCTCTAGCGAACCTCGCCACATCATTACCTCAGTTGAAGTTCTACTGACACCTTTCCAGATTCGCACATCTCGTCACCCCCGTCTACGAAGACCTCCAAGAACAATCAACTTCTCATTTAGGCTATAGAACAAACACCTCTTTACGTGGTCTTGGTTAAGCACCATACACCAGGGTTATTAAAATTCAAGAAGTCCGCCACTTACACCTTGTTCGGCGTGTACGCCTTTGTTCGAAGGTCGGCGGGATGCTGTGGACCAGCTGATTATAATGTTGTCCCCAGACAATTGTCGGCCAAGTAAAGGAATGTATTACCCGAAGCTTTCACAAAGAACAGTGATGCGGCGCATCATCAAATCCATCTTCATGTGGATGCAGTTCCACCAGCTTCTGCTTATGGCATCAATAGGTGGACGTTGCAGGTCACAGTTGGTGCTATACTTGTGTATACTTTTTTGAAGCCCGGCCAGGAGAAATACGTCATTCTTTTTTGATTATCGCTGGTCACAGAGACGATGGATGATTATTGTTATCCTATTCGCTGTTTCCATTGTTGATCTCCAGGACGTTTTGTCATCATCCCACTGATATTATTCGTAGTCACAGGGACTGCCAGCAAAACCTTTAGGCTTTGCTTGGTTCTTTCGCCGATTCTCTCCGATGTTATGATGTTCTCAAATCAAAATTATGGCAGAACCAATGAAAAATATGGAGGTCAATATGACGCAACCTCTTTTGGCTTTAGATAACAAACTTATCTCTCGAGCCTGTGCCCCGCTTTACCATGGTACGCGTATGAGAACAACCTTTTTTCGGCGGTATGATAATGGTGGCTAATAAAACCTAGAACTCTGATCATATATACTTCCTTTCGTGAGACACGGGGGTATCTCGGGAAGAATGACTAAGTGCGTGTGCCAGGGCACGTCGGCTGTGCGATGACCCACAATAGCGTGCGCTTGCTATGCGACATGCGTGTCAACGAGTGAAGGCGGATACGCGAGGAGAAAGCCGGCGGGAACGTTAGCATCAATTTGGCATCAATTATGGTATGTAGTACAGAGGGCAAGGGCAATCTGGAAAACTCCTAGCCCGTTCCCTCTACATGTCCCAGAGCGATGTAAAGGTGATTCCTGATGTTTTTGCGATCCACGGCATATTTCATGTAATTATTGGTGATGTGTCATAGGACCGATCTTCCAGTCATTCTCAACAAGCCCCCATATAGGTATTCTCTTGCAGAACGTTCGAATTCGCACCTTTGAACACATCCCTCCCATCACCCATGTCCTCTTCAGAATCTGCACCACTACTCGGAAACGGTGGCCATACTGGTCATAAAAACCTCCCCTTTACTCGTCGCATTGTCGATTACATGAAAGGCGAGGGCGAGCCATCATGGGAGGAATCGTTCAAGTTCTTTATTTTCGGGACATGGCTCAATATCCTACTCGTATTTGTACCTCTAAGCTTCATCTCACACAACATGAACTGGGACGTCGGCCTCGTATTTTTATTTAGCTTTATGGCTATCGTGCCCTTGTCCAAGGTGACAACTACTTCTATCATCACGCTCTTGGAAGACTGACATCGTCGTGTTTAGCTGTTGGGCGAGGCAACAGATCAGTTGTCGGTCAAATTAGGAGAGACCATGTCAGGTCTCCTCAATGCATCCTTTGGGAATGCCGTAGAAATCATCATTGGCGTTGCTGCTTTACTCAATGGTTTGTCCACCGCTCTGAAGTTATCTGCAAGTGCTCACGATGATCCTAGGTCAATTACGAATTGTTCAGACGTCCGTGAGTGTTATCATGCAGTTACTATTTGCGATAGAATGACGTTGGGTCAGATGATTGGATCGATCTTGTCAAACATATTGCTCGTCCTTGGTTGTTCGTTTCTGGCCGGTAAGGGACCCCCACCTTTGAAGGAGAGTATGGGCTCCTCGATAGGCGGATTATACCATACAGAAGGACTTTTCAATGGTACCGGAGCTCAGGCGTGCGTCCTCTGGTTTTCTGTTATTTAAATCCTTGGTTGAATTGCAATGCTTTCAGATCTACCTCCGTAAGTTACCTGACTTATTCATCGCTATGACGACTAACCAAGTGTAGCTTATGACGCTGTCGTGCATCAGTACGATTGTGTTCTTCAACTCGAGAGTTTCGCTAATATTTCACAGCGCTTGTTGTTCCTGCGGCCTATGCAAGTACTACGGACTCTGGAATGAAGAATTATTGCAGTAATCCAGATGAATGTCCCACCGCGGGTCTTCTTTTTATCTCCAGAGGGACTGCAATATTACTCTTAGGGGCATACTGTGCCTACATTTGGTTTCAGGCATGTTTTAATAATATCTTATTTCTTTAATATCCTCACCCAAGGGTTTAGTTAAAGTCTCATCCCGATCTCTTCATCGCGCCTTCTTCACAAAACAGTGATGTAACGGTAGCATTGTCGGAAACGGACGAAACAAAACCTCGCATGGGAACGGCCGCTGCTGGCGTTGCGTAAGTTTCGTTTCGTCATTCATCACATCGGGTACTTATTCTCGTTTGTGAGACTTTTATTGGTCACCATCGTCATCGCATTTTGTGCTGAGCATTGTAAGTATCCCACTTTGTTCCCTTCATCTCATGTTCAATTGTGCCAGTGGTTACCTCCATCGAGGAGACTACAGCCCGGTATCCCGTCTCGAAAGCCTTCATTGGTGTTATCTTGTTGCCGATCGTGGTATGTTTCAACCTGTATCCGATTTACTGCCTACCAATATCGTTTTTAGGGAAATGCCGCAGATCATGTCACTGCAGTCTGGATGGCAACGAAGAATAAATACGAGCTCACCATCTCTATCTGCGTTGGAAGTTCGATTGTAAGTGTAGACCGTTCATTATAAGATTATGATTGTACTGATTATGGGACAGCAAATTGCCTGCCTCGTAGTGCCGCTTCTTGTGATCATCGGTTGGATGTATGATCATGCATTGCGTCTCGCGAGGTGTTGTTCTCACTCTCCTTTTTGTTAGCGTCGACCAACCCCTGACGTTGCACTTCCACAACTTCGAGGTCGGTTTATTCAGAATATATTCCACGTCATCAGCCAAGTTTCTAACGAATGTCCAGACAATTGTCTTCTTTGTATCTGTCTGCCTGGTCAATCTATTGCTCATGTTAGTTTCCCTTTTACCACATGGCAGTTTCCCTCTCGTCGAGACTCAGCTCACTTGTTTCAGGGACGGAAAAGCCAATTATCTGGAAGGTCTCATGCTCCTTACCCTCTACTCGGTCATTGGCCTCGCATGTAAGTTGCTCGTTGAGCCCTTTAATCACATTCTCATTGCAATTAGTTTGGGTGGCCTGAAATACCATCGATTGCACATCGAATACACAAGTATTGGTACCGTCTAGTGCCGCTGATACACCTGGATGGCTGCGAATATGTCCAATAACGATATAGACAGGAATTGGATGGAGATCTTGACATTCGGTGCTGTCCACACCTGTCTTGAGTGCCTCAAGACACATGTGTAGTCATCGCCTGTAGTATGTGCCACATATCTATACAGTGACTCGTAATTATTACTTACACATTGAAACATTCATAACCCTCGGTAAACCTCCTCGGCGGGGGCACTGAATCCCCAATCGGAGGGATATATTTAGGCTTGGCATTTGTGTCGACTGACGTTCTGAGTCGAGCGTACTTGCATTGCATAAAAAACGCTCGAAAATCGGCTCGCTATCAGTGAAGCGACCCGCCATGGGCCAGGCTTTCATATGGCATGATAAGTACAGGTGCATACCATGATACAAATTGATCAGTCCAGAACCAACACCGACCGGGACCTGGGCCACCGGGCCATTAATACGAGTCTTCATGGGAGACAAGAGCAACGACTCGCATTTGCGCGCGGTAAGTTGTCCAGTGATTCTGTACATGTACAATGATAGAAATGGCTTTAGTCTCCTCTGGACAGACCAGAATGAAAATGAGCGTTCCCTAGTAGGTTCCATACTTGCTGCCACTGGTCTGCTTCCTAGAGATAACACACTTTCAATGTTCCGTCGCACATATTCGATGGCGTACAACTGGAACGAGTAAAATCTGCTATGGCCAGCAGTACTATTAAAATAGATTGCATGGCCAAATACAACGACAAACCCGTAACCAGCCCTCTCACCAGGCCAGGCGTTCAACAAGTTTCATGTGCACGAGGGACTACATTGGTGTAAGTGGATGTACTTTGTTCATGAGACCTGCAAACTCGTATAGTAAGTTCAATTTCGACGTTCACATTGCTCCAAAAATTACTGTCACTGATTAAGGGATGTCAAGTCAGAATCAGGCTCATTCGATCAGAGTCCATGCGTTGTCTCGGTGGCTGCATCAAATTCCTTCGTACCCTAGGTAAGTTCCCTTGAAGTGGTACTAAGGTAGCCTTAACTGTTCGAGAAAAAAGTTGGAGAGAAGGCTTTGGAAATTTCGGGAGTGTGATGTCCATACGCAGCAGCACCCAGTGTATGGTTGGAAGTAGCGATCGGGACAACATGATCGCTCGGTACCGAACAAGGAGAATTCTTCAGTGGTCAAGCTAAAGCACAAGATCAATTTTGAAGTCTGCTCAAGAATTGCAACGTTGAACTTCAAGTTCACAAACAGCGCACGGCCTGGGAATGTGAAGTACATATGGTACGTAATAAATTATCGTCATTAATATTATTTACAGTAATTAAATTCTGCTGTTGCTCTGCTGCAGCCTACAGAAAACTAGAAGTTTTGGGCTTAGACCAAGTTAGATGGTGCTCTTCCACTTTCATGACAACAAGTTTTACTAACACAAGTTGCTTTGGCTCGGCAGATAGTAGATTCTGGTTCAATCATTACTCAGGCTGACCGTGACACGCCGCCACCCTCACGACCGCAGAGCCGTAGCTTAACTAGTAAGTAAGTTTCTTAAAAACAATAGCAGAGTCTAAATAATACTTCGTCGATTTCAGGGAAACCCGGTCTCGTCGGTCAACGTATTAAGTACTTGCAATATATCAGCGGACCAAACCGTGTCGGGCACGTAGGCGTGCTTCTAGCTTGCTATATCCTTTCTAGATGGTACTTCAAAGCTTCACCTCGGAGGTTCGTTATTTTCGGGCGTCTTTTATGCAGTACAAACATGCCCGACTCAGAATGTCGGTTAACACAAATACCAAGACTAAAAGTATCCCTCCGATTGGGGATTCAGTGTTCCCGCCGAAGGGACCTACCGAGGGTTATGAATGTTTCAATATATTGCAAGCAATGCATGCATGGCTACTCCAAGGACTTATATATGTGTGCACCTACTGCAGGCGATGACTACATATGTGCCTTGAGGCTCTCGAGACAGGTATGGACATCACTGAACGTCGAGATCCTGATTCAAGTCTTGTATCATATTTGCAGTCATCGAGGTACTATGGCCGCGGTACTAGATGGTACCAATACTTGTCTATTCTGTACCTTCCATGCAACCCAGACGTAGGCAGGCAAAGACCAAATGTCGAGTCCCTTGCAACCTACGCACATACACCGTCGGTATCGACTAAAAGTATTTTTCCGACGGGGCTTCGGTGACTGCAACGAGATCCCGAAGCCAAAGGGTCTATCTGCGGGTATAAAACCTAGCAATTCTACCTACTCTCCCTCAGTTCAAGTCGCCCCAGATCACTTAGCCAAAGCTCGTTTTTCTGTCTTACACAATGTTTGTTCGTCTCTTATCCATCACGTCTCTCTTCCTTCTCGCAATCGCCAATCCCCTTGTTCACCGCGGAAGCAGCCAGTGCGACACGGGGAACATCCAGTGTTGTCAAGGGACTCAGACAGTGAGTTTGATAGCGCTAGAAGTATCCTTCATAAATCATGCTTAAAATCCAACAATAGATCGACGAGTACAATAAGAACGCGACGACACATGGAAAGGTTCCCATTGACATTGACGTCCTCGGTCGTGTCGGTCTTGGCTGCTCCCCAATCACTATTGTCGGCGCTGGTGCTGGCGCGACCTGTTCTCAGGAGCCACTCTGCTGCAGCGATAATCAATATGTATGCATTCAACTTTTGTCTTCCATTTCAGACTGCTCAAAGTTACCTTTGCAGTACGGGCTCATCAACATCGGCTGCACGCCCATCAACATCTACATCGATTGAGTTTTGAAGGTGACGGAGGAATGCGGTTGGAATGTGGGAGATCATCGAGCGCAGCTATGGACAGTAGATGTTAGTTTGTTACAGTTTTCTTGAGGCTTAAAGATGTTTGGTATCAGCAATGTGTCGATCATGATGTTTTTTGTGTCGAGTTAACTGACAGCCATTGCTCTGTCAAAGCGAAGAACTGCTCTCTTGTCATAACTTGTCTGACCATTTTCTATACGAGCTCTTTCGTCGAACAATCAATTGATCACATCTCATACTAGAGTTGGAAAAACCGAAGCCACGAACTGCCTCAACACATTCATTAAATTGCGAAAAATCAAAAAATCAAAAACTCTACAACCTCTTCATTTACAAGAAGACACTGTTTCCTTCTTGCATCAAGACTGCACAGTAGTACTACGGCTGTTTTGATATTTGACCCCTGGCATGGTGTGTCTTGAACACCTTATGCCTTCACATTTGCATAATATTATGAATACAATGAATCTATGCATGATGCTTTCTCTCGATGAAGTCATACTACGTACATACATGTTTTAGTGTCGCAGGTGGACCAAAAGGAAATAGGTGGCGCAGAAACTGATCTACTAGCAGTCGCAAAATATATGTTGCCAATAATGACAATAATCGATGGTATCTCAGACCACCCAAACTAATAGCAATGAGAATGTGATTGAAGGGTTCAATGGGCAACTTACACGCGAGGGCGATGACCAAGTAGAGGGTAAGGAGCATGAGACCTTCCAGATAATTGGCTTTTCCGTCCCTAAAATATGTGATGTAAGTCTCGATGAGAGGGTAACTGCCATGTGTAAAGGCAACACTGACATGAGTAATAGATTGATCAGGAAGACAGATACGAAGAGCACGATTGTCTGAAGATTCGTTAGAAACTTGGCTGATGACGTGGAATATATTCTGAATAAACCGACCTCGAAGTTGTGGAAGTGCAACGTCAGGGGTTGGTCGACGCTAATAAAAAGGACAGTGAGAACAAAACCTCGCGAGATGCAATGCGTGATCGTACATCCAACCGACGATCACAAGAAGCGGCACTACGAGGCAGGCAATTTGCTGTCCCATAATCAGTACAATCATAATCTTATAATGAACGGTCTACACTTACAATCGAACTTCCAACGCAGATGGTGATGGTGAGCTCGTATTTGTTCTTCATTGCCATCCAGACTGAAGTAACATGTTCTGCGGCATTTCCCTACAAACGATATTGGTAGGCAGTTAGTCGGATACAGCTTGAAACATACCACGATCGGCAACAAGATAACACCAATGAAGGCTTTTGGGATGGAATAGCGGGCTGCAGTTTCCTCAATGGAGGTAACCACTGGCACAATTGAACATGAGACGAAGGGAACAAAGTGGGACACTTACGATGCTCAGCACAAAATGCAATGACAATAGTGACCAATAAAAGTCTAACGAACGAGAATAAGCTCCAGATGTAAAATATGACAGAACAAGACTTACGCAGCACTAGCAGCGGCCGTTCCCATGCGAGGCTCCGTTTCGTCCGTTTCCGACAATGCTACCGTTACATCACTGTTTTGTGAAGAAGGCGCGATGAAGAGATCGGGATGAGACTTCAACTAAACCCTTGGGTGAGTACATTAAAGAAATAAGGTGTTAGAACATGCCTGAAACCAAATGTAGGCACAGTACACCCCTAGGAGCAATATGGCGGTTCCTCTGGAAATAAAGAGAAGACCCGCAGTAGGACACTCATCTGGATTACTGCAATAATTCTCCATGCCAGGGTCCGTAGTACTTGCATAGGCCGCAGGCACAACAAACGCTGTGAAATATTAGCGAAACTCTCGAGTTGAAGAATATAATCATACTGATGCACAATAGAGTCATAAGCTACGCTTGGTGTCAGTAATCATTAAATGAATCAGTCAGATAACTTACGGAGGCAGATCTAAAAAAACGTTGCAATTTAACCAAGGATTTAAAGAACAGAAAAACAGAGGACGCACGCCTGAGCTCCGGTACCATTGAAAAGTCCTTCTGTATGGTATAATCCGCCTAAACCGAATGAGCCCATACTCTCCTTCAAAGGTAGGGGTCCCTTACCGGCCAGAAACGAACAACCAAGGACGAGCAATATGTTTGACAAGAT